ATTAAAGGAACTATATTGGTGAGCTGATTTGGATGTCTTACCAAATCACATATTTAGAGATAAACACAGTTATGTATCTATAAAATTAACACATGGTATTAAATTATTGTATTGCATATATGTATGTATGTATGTATATGTATATATAGATTTTTCTCAAAAGCAAATTTATGGCAAGATAATTCACTTTAGAGGAAGTAAGTTGGTATATTAGCTTATATTTTTATTTTTTATTGATTAAAATAACAACCCTTAGTAATACGTAATGAAAACATATTCTATTATTTAGAAATACTCAACTGCATGTTGCAAACATTAACCTTGTACTATTTCTAAAATAGTACTTGCTACCTTTGCCTCAAATAGTGTTAAAATTATTCCAAATTTGTGAAGCTTCTTATTTTATATTCCATCGAATTACTAGTTGTATAATTTTGTTTTAAAACACGGTCAGTCACTAATTTGATTGAGTAAATTCTTTTCCAGATCATTGTATGGTTGATAATTCCACTTAGCACACATATGTCAGTCTAGGCCCTTATTTGCAAACTGATTGCTCTTTATGTCTTTGAAGTTGACTCTTTACTTTTTAGTACTTTCTTTTCAAATGCATATCAAAAGCAAGACCTTGAAGCCATGTGTTGATGCCTCACCTGTATGTTCTTAGCTACTTATAAGGCTAAAATCTGAGGATCACAATTCAAAACCAGCCCAGACAGACAAAAACAACAACAAACAACAAAAACCAAGTCTTCCATGCTGAAAATCTAGAAACACCAAAATTATATTTGCAGTAATATATATTAATACGACATCCTATTCAGTTACTTTGAAATTTTGTGATATTTGTTGCTTTCCAAATTCATAAGACTTTTTTTGTAGAATCTGAACTATATGTTTATATTGACTAGTAGATGGGTAGAAAGAATATTAGTAAGTATTTGGTGTTTATGTGTAGATAAAATGTTATATGTCTGAATACTCATTTTTTTGTATAATTATTTTTACAATTTTGTTTTTCCTCTTTTTTAATACTTTTTTATTGTAAAAATACTGTACAAAGGGGATACAGTTACATGAGTAAGGTAATGAGTACATTTCCTATCAAGCATTGTTGCCTCCTTTGTTTTACCCCTACCATCCCTGCCTTCCCCACCTCCCCAACTATTCCCCCCCCCACACACACACACCAGGCAAAGTTGTAAATTTCATTTTCAACATAGTGTCTTGTACATCTCATTGTTACAATGAGTCAACCTGTATCCCTATTTAATCATTTTGTTTTTTCCCTTCCCCTCCCCAAATTAGAAAAGTGTATATACAAGATGCAGGGCGCTTACATCAAATACAGTAAAAACTAGTTATACCATGGAAGAGGAATATACAAAAGAAACAAACCACTGCTTTCACTGTATTTGATGTTGGTATAATTTGTGGAGGGGAAGGGCAAAAACAAATTGTTTAAATAGGGATACAGGTGGACCCATTGCAAAAATGAGATGTACAAAGTTATGTCGAAAAAGAACTTCACAACTTTGGCGTGGGGAGCGGGGAGGAATGGGTGGGGGAAGGTAGGGGGAGTATGGGAAGGGAAGGGAAGGGGAAACAAAGAGGAGGCAACAATGCTTGATAAGAAATGTACTCATTATTTTGTCCATGTAATTGTAACTTCTCTGTACGGTATTCTCACAATAAAAAATAAATAAATAAATTTTTTAAAATGTAAAAAAAATCACATAGTACATTATAAGTACATTAAGAAGAATAGCAACCAAGATAAAACTAGTTGTATCCTTCTCTTGGGATTCATTTCACTTAACATCTTATATGGTCAAATGTACATAGTTTTTTACCTTCTTGGCTTGTTCTAGACATATACTAGTTATTGCAGATATGGGAAACCATGGGACTTACGTTTCTTTGGGCCTGGCTTATTTCACTTAATATAATTTTTTCCAAGTCTTTCCATTTCCTAACAAATGGAGCAGTGTTATTCTTTCTGATGGAGGCATAGAATTCCATTATATACATATATATATGTAATACATATTTATATATATAAATATTTATATATATATTTATATTTTTTTCTTGATCCATTCATCTATTGAGGGGCATCTCGGTTGGTTCCAGCTATGGTAAATAATGCTGCAATAAGCATAGTTCATATATTTGGATAATTCCATGAGCCTACACTAAGTGAACACACCTCTATTGTGAAATTTACTTGACACTCTCTAAAAATAACAATAGATTTTTACATATATCTAGAAACTATTTTATGTAAGAAACTTTTTTAAAATTGTCATTCCTAAACAAGTGTGTAGTAAGTATCATAGTGCAACCTTCCTTAAATATGTGCTAGAATGTATAGCAACACAAGAAGCCAGGTCAAATTTGCTTGACTTAGCAGGTGCCTACAGATCCACCTGTCCCCCACTTCATTATGAACACATAATATACTAAAGTACAGAATTTTATTTGACTTGAGTAAGCCAGTATTTCTATGTGTATTAATAAAATAACTTTTTCTCAACACATTTATAAGCATTTCGAGGACAAAGGTTTATTTCTAAATAGTTTGGAATGTACTGCTCTAGAAGAAAAATAAGAAAGGTGAATTCTAGCATTCCCCCCATCTCTGTATTTTATAAAAACGCAACATGACGACTTACAGAATATATTAACCATACTCATGCAAAAGAAAACAGACTATCCCAGGGAATCAACTGTATTTAAACCAGCAGTAATAGCTACTTTGCTTGATGTGGTTTTGTTGATTTCAGTATTGATTTTTGGCTTCGTGTGTGTGTGTGTGTGTGTGTGTGTGTGTGTGAGAGAGAGAGAGAGAGAGAGAGAGAGAGACAGAGACAGACACAGAGACAGACACAGAGACAGACACAGAGATAGACAGAGACAGACACAGAGACAGAGAGACAGAGACATGATCTCTTACTATGTCATACAGGCTGGTCTCAAATGTCTGATCCTCCTTCCTCAGTCTCTCTTCTGAATAATAAGGAAATAGATCAGGATACTGAATGTATTGCATATGTTATGGGTTGGTATTCCTTCTCAGGAAAAAAAATAGGCATTATTTTTCCCAAACAGATAAAATATGGGAGGATGATTTGCCTATATTTCATGTTTTGTCAGTTATCATTTATCATTTTTTCCTTTTATTAAGATGCTTAAACTGATTTTATTTTACCTCTCTACAAAGTGACTCAATGTTGTCTACATAGGAGCCACATCCTAGATTCCTGTTCTTGCTCCCTGATCTCTTGTCCATGTATACTTTCACTAAACAGGGAGAGAAAGGAAAATATAGTGAGAGTCTCTGGCTTATTATTTTGACACCAACCATTTCTTTTAGAGCACATAATTTTCGGACCAACTCTAAAATTGTTAAAGTATCATTCTTGGGAATTGTGTTCTGACACCGTGAGGATGGATATAGGACACAGGTGTTTGTTTGGGGTTGCACTTTCCTGCTTGCTTCTATTACACAGGAGAGGCAATTATAGAGACACATATCAGATTCAACATGAGAAGTCCAGTGCTTTCTAAAGCATTCATGGAGCTTCTCACAGCAGGACTCAATCCTGAGGTCCTTCGGGTGCTCTACACTTTCAAAGTATAGAGAAATCAAATTTCTGTTTAGAAAAGACTCCCCCCTTCTTCTCCCCTCCCGCCCCCCACTGATGTCATGGCTGTTGCTATGGAGAGGAAGTGGGGGCTGCCTCACAGGGCTGGAAAAATCAACACTGACGTATGTCTGCAGAGCAAATATTCCATCTCATAGTTTGTTTTTGATTAGTGTAAGCTCGCTAAAAATGGTCAGAACTAATAACTAGAAGGAAATGTTCCGTTGCCAGAACAACATGGGAATACAAAAGGGTCCTTTCTGTAAGGATATGAAAAATATTTCTTATGAATAACTGTAAAGAGTTTGGAATACTTAACAGTAATCCATGTAAATTGAGGAAGAAGAAAACATGATTTATAATCTCTTACATATTATTTCTGTTTCCTGGAATATTTTTCTTGGAAATACTCATTCTCCTGTCTGAAATATTTTTCTTGGAAGTACTCATTCTACTGTTTTTAAAAAAAAATCTATCTTTAACATTAAGTCATTTAACTGTAAGTACTACTCCAAACAAATCTGAGCCCTCAGAATAGATCAGGGCTGGTTTCATTCAGATCACTGCTCAGGCATTCTTTCTGCCCTACTGTAGCAATGTCATTGAAACATCAGAGATTAGAGATGCACTTGTGATATTTTATGGAGCACTTGATTCGTTGACTTGTAAAGGACAGAGTAAACTGAAACTAACGATCAAGACTTGTTATGTCACAAAGCCATCATGTAAAGGCTTGCAAAAGAGAGATGATGGTTTATTGATGTTTTAAATGTTATCATTAAATTAATAAAGATAATTTTTGAGAAAAGTACATGCCTAAATGATGGGTTTTAGAAAATAAAGAAAATTAAGAATAAAATCATAAGAAAAGACAGAAGGTATAACTCAACTCCGTAGATGCTATTTCCATCTGAAGAACAACTACAAATGGCTATTTTTTTTGCCGTTGAAACTTAGATAGGTGTAAATAAAATAACTGCCTATATTCCCATTGTTGAATCCATTGCTGGAAGATCTTCTAGGCACCTTCTGTCTTGCATTAAGAATGCATTGTAGCTCTCACACTTGATCATAGCCACAAAACAAACTATGAATTTAAAAAAATGCATTGTAGCTGCAAGCCTAGCTACTTAGGAGGGTGGGATCTGTGGATTCTGGTTAAAAACCAACCTGGGCAGGAAAGTCTATGAGACTCTTATGTCAGTTAACTACCAGAAAGCCAGAAAATAGATCAGGGACAATGGCCAGGCCATGAGTTCTAGCCACAGGATTAGGACACACACACACACACACAAAAGAATGCATTGTATGTGAATGGCTCATTAGTTATATATCCTTTCTTTTTGCCTGCAGTGGGACATCCAGTGATGAGATGTGCAACTTATACATCATGTATTACATGGAAGCCAAGCATGCAGTGTCTTTTATGACCTGCACACAGAACGTGGCGCCAGAGATGTTCCGAATGATTCCCCCAGAGGCCAATGTTCCCATTCCTGTGAAGTCTGACATGGGCATGATGCATGGGCATCACCATGGTGAGTTGGGTGCTTAGTATAAAGTAATGGAGGATTTTACATTTTACATTTTTGTGTACTGCTGACTATAGAATTCCTATTTCGGGGCTGGGAAGGTGGTTCAGTGGTAGAGCACTTGCCTTGCATGCATGAGGCCCTGGGTTCCATTCCTCAGCACCACATAAGCAAAAAGAAAAAAGCTGGAAGTGGCGCTGTAGCTTAAGTGGTAGAGCGCTAGCCTTGAGCTGAAGAGCTGAGGGACAGCGCCCAGGCCCAGAGTTCAGGCCCCACGACCGGACCCAAAAAAAAAAAAAAAAGAATTCATATTTCAAATATGAATTCAAATTCACATTTCAAATCATTTTTATTCTCTTTTTCATTCATACCATGACCTGGCCACACTTTCATACACTCTCTCTTTTCTCTGACATGAACCCCCGACCCCATCAAAACATTAAAGAAAAAGGATTTTTGAACAAGAGTAAAACAGACTGGTTTGAGCACCTCATTTAATTTGTTTTCTGATTTCCTCATCTCAAACCTCCTGTAGCCAACAATGACTTCCACAATTTCGGAATTCACAAATTACTCTGTGCTCTCAAATGTGCTATTTTCCATGAAAATATCATCGCCAACCATATCCTGAGTTATCCATTTCATGATTCTCTTCAGGCAAAGAACAATTACTGGTATTACTAGTCTTATCCTTATTGGTCCCCTTCTCAAAATTGTTCATTACCTCATTATTCATTTACTAAATGCTCATATTGATTCTCATTTCTTTAGCTTTATATCACAAAATCCACATCATATTTTAATTGCATGAAGTATGCTAAGGGAGCTCTTACTGAATTTTGCAAATCCAATTATAACATGCCAGTACAGCAAGTTGTTTCTTCCTGGTAGAGATTTCATGGGAGGAGGTAACACAGCAATCAGGTCCATTTATTAAGACACCAATATACTTTTTAGAAAATGTCTTGAAAATATCTAAGGTGCTTTCAAATATTGCTAAATATAACTAAAAGTATGAGTAGATTTGTTTAAAAATTAAAATTCTATGCTATCTATAAGGTATTTTAAAAAGCAGTTGACCTAGTTATTTTATCAGAAGTCAGGTAATTAGTAATGCTGCTGTAGGTAGTAAGGAGTGTGCATCATGTCTACCATGTAAAAATTTAATGCTGTAATAAACACAAGATTCTGGATAATATTTTACATTTCTGACACAATAACTATAAACTATTCAGGTAGTTTATATATACTGCAAAGTTATGCTTTTTATTTTTTTATTTTTTCACAGAACCTGAGAACAAAGATAAGACTACCTTACTACAGCAACCCAAACGGGAAGAAGAAGAAGTACTGGACCAGGGTATGTTTGCTTATTCTGGTAACTAGGCCTATAAAAATATTCAGTATCCAAATAGGCAATGAAATCATGGTGTTAGGGGGATATTTTAGTTCTTTTCTCTGTATCAGCCTCAAACCTTATTATTGCTGTTTTCTTAAATGCATAAGTTATGAGGCAATGGTCAAGTATTGCAGTTGGACTTGAAAGTAGAATTCATTAGTTTAATTTATCCCTGTATGGTTTTTCTTTCTTTGTTTCAATTCATTTAATATTGTAATTTTTGTGTACAATACAAACATACAAATGGACTGGGTACGTATATATGTACATATTCTTATTTAGATATTGAGCTCTCTTTGAAATCTAATGATCTTTGCCATTTAAATTCTGTGTATATGATATGATGTGTTTGATTGCTATATGTGAGGCTCAAGAGAAAAGAAATTAAGAATTGAAGCCAGCACCTGTAATCCTAGCTACCGAGGAGGCTGAGATCTGAGAATTGAGGTGCAAAGCCAGCCTGGGCAGGAAATTCCGTGAAACTCTTATCTCCAATAAACCACCAGAAAACCAGAAGTGGCACTGTGGCTCAAGTGGTAGAGCGCTAGCCTTGGGCTGAAGAGCTGGGGGACAGCACTCAGGCCCAGAGTTAAAGCCCCATACTGACAAAAAAAAAAAGAGAAATTAAGAATTGAGTTTGTATTTTATGTCTGTAAATTACTGTTCTCTGTCTTCAGCAAGGGAAAGTATCACTTCTGAGGAGGAAGAGACAGAAGGATCATTGTTCAAGGCCAGCCCTGGTAGAAGTTAGTAAGACTCTATCTCAAATACAATTTGCCTCTAATCCTAGGTATTTTCAGAAGTTGAAGTTTGCCATAACAAGGCATCCAGAGCAAAGTTATCATGAGATCCAGTCTGAAAAACAAACTTAAAGCCAAAGAACAAACAAAAGTAGAGGGTGTTTGATGGTCCTTTGTCTTATACAGCAATGGCTGGCACAAAAAGTTTTCTCTCCTGATTCTTGGTTTCTGGTTTCTAGACTGCTGTTTAGAAGATAGTGTTTTGATTAGGTGCTGGAGTATATTACTGCCTAAATATGATATTTTTTAATCATCAGTTTAATCATTATGCAAGCACCTATTTCCTGATAATATAAGGCATTTTTGAAATAGGCAGAATTTTCTTTTGACAACATATAGAAATTCCCTAGTTCAAATGCTCCTGGAATTCTCCAAAATGTATTAAGTATATACCTAAGATAAGATTCTTGAACAAATTTTATTTGCAAAAAGAATCTAAACTTTTTAAAGAAAAGAGCACTCGGAAAGAAAAATAAAAAGTATCATGTAACAGATTGAAAATTTTGTAGATTGTATTCCATAGCATCTTGTCCTACAAAAGTAGGCTCTTAAAAATATTTTTAGCTTAATATTCTGTGTGTTAAATCCATTTAAGGAGATGACTTTGCACTAATGAGCTGGCTAATGAGTAAAAAAGCTAAATTTATCAGTCATCTACATATTATTAACTAGGAAGTCATTAAGCATCCAAACTATAGTAACACTGATAATGTTTCCAATAATTGTACTGAAATCTGTTCATCTTTGACAGTGAACTATTTGATATGGCACAGTTTAAAATATAAAAATGTATGTCTTTGAAAGAATTTGAGTTATCTTAAACTTCACTTCCAAATACTGTATCATACAGAGAGAAGGAGACTATAGAATGAGTCTGTCATTTAAAAGTTGTGGTGTCTTATAAAACACTGTATTTCTGTGGAAACTGATGCTGGATGATGGCTTACCTTTTGAGGTTCCTTGAGTTGATCAAGGGAAAAATTAACACCTCTGAAAGATTAGAAACCTAGAGTTTTTGTTCGAAAAGTAATTTGTGGGGGGGGGGGGGGGGTGTATCAGTCCTAAGCCTTTAAATCTGGGCCTGGGTGCTGTCCCTGTGCTTTTATGCTTAAGATTAGCACTCTACCACTTGAGCCACACCTCTGCTTCTGGCTTTTTTGGTAGTTTAGTAGCGATGAAAGTCTCACATACTTTCTCTCTCTGGCTGGCTTTGAACCACTATCCTCAGATCTCAGCCTCTTGAGTAGGTGGGATTTCAGGCCTGAGTCACTGGCAGCAAGCCAACGTAATTTTAATTGTGAAAATACCAGACACAGGGGTTACAATTACATGGGCAAGGTAATGAGTACATTTCTTATCAATGTAAGATTTAATCTCTTCTTTTCTTATAGTAGGAAGGCATCATATGTACCAAATGCTTTGAAATGCTTCTGTATTTTTCCATCCACTACTGTTTTGCATTTAGTAGTATGTATAGTGTTTTTAATGTACCCAAACTCTTACAAGGAGGAATTCTATGAGTATATGTGAAGTGATTTCCTTATCTTCTTTTACTTATGAACAAAAACTGCTATAGCTAAAGTAATATAATTTGGAAAAGTATTGATATTCTTGCCAGCTTTAATATTGTGGACAATAAGCTTTGGTGCTCATGTGATGGAAGTGGAGGATCCATCCAGCAGCCATCACCTCCTATGTTAAGTCAATACTCAGCAATGCCATTTCAGTATACTCTGTGTGTTAATCTTCTGGTCCCTGGAGACCCCAAGAACCTAAAATTTGAAGATCAATATGGAAATGTACAAAACACACTTTGATACAGGTAGTTCCTTTGATGCACTAATGAGATCAATCTATCGCTTTGAGTATACAGGACAAGTTTGCTCATTATTGAAAGAGGAGTATTCTGTTCTCAAGATATCTGTATGAAATAGCTATTACTTTTAGTCCCTGGGGATTCAAGTTGACCAAATAGGTAATAGGAGGGGAGAACTCTTAGCCATTCAAATAAATCATTCCATCTGTGTTTATTTTTAAAGGAAGTCTTTAAACTTAATCAATCACCTTATATTGTTTTTTGACACAGTAATTTGTATTCATGTGTCCCACCAGTTTGGATTAATACTTTTGATTTTTTACTTCCAATAAGTAACTGTCCTGAAATCATTTCCACATCCTAGTCAAACTAACAGGTACCATCCATGTTGGTTCTATAGAAGCTGTCAAACTCTCATAGGAAACAGAACAGTTGTGAGGCAAGAAAAGGAAACATTAGGGAATGTGCACAACATTAGGGAATGTGTACCCAGAGACCAGCCCTGTTCCCAATATAATAGTTCTACCTGGATAATGTAAAGCACACATGCACATACACACATATTGATGTCCCAACCCGCAGTACGTCAACAAGGGCGGTGAACCTAAGCAAGAAAGAATGAAGGGACAAGAGACACAAAGGATGACAGCAAGACAGGGATTCTGATCAAGCTGCAAATTTTTATTTTTCACACAGGGGTATTTATATGCTTGGAATAAGGAAGCTTTTTCATTGGCCGTTAAGGAAGCTGTTTCATTGGCCGTAGCAGTGCAGGATGTTTGCTTAGGGCAGGGGGAAAGGGTGGTCTTTAGCAGTTGCAGGATGTTTACTTAGGGCAGGATGAGGGTAGGATTCTGTAAACTCAGCCTCAAGATGTTCCAGTGAGATAGTCAAGCCTATCATGTTGAGAGACTTCCTTTTGGCTCCCAACATATTGAGATGCATATAGGTGTCTACATACATATATACATATGTATATACAGAGAGAAAGAAAAGTATATACACATACTCCCTATCTTAATGTTGTAAAACTAGTAGGAAGATAAAAATAAGATATGTACCACCTTTGCTAAGTAAAGATGAAGAGTGTTGAGGGTGGAGTAGAATTATAATATCCCATAAATTGAATGTGGCTGCTTATGAGTATTCCATAAAAAGGATGTAGCTGGGCACAGATGGACAGGAAGTCGCATGAGTGTATAACATGGAGAATGAAATCCAAAGAGAATCAGTGATATTTTAAACACAAATTTCCATAACACTTTGTTTCTATGAGAATTATAAATGCTTTCTTTTCTTTTGTGTTCTTCATACTGACATTGCTGGCTTTTAAAGGATTTTTCTAGTGGGCTGAGAAGGTGGCTCAGTGGTAGTGCTTGCCTTGCATGCATGAGGCCCTGGTTTCGATTCCTCATAAGCAAAAAGAAAAAAGCCAGAAGTGGCACTGTGGCTCAAGTGGTAGAGTACTAGCCTTGAGCTGAAGAGCCACCTTCCCAGCCCAAAAATAATCTATTTCTATATATGTGAGTTCATCTGTGAACAAGTCAGTTATGCCTGTGTCCATGCACAGAGACACCAATAAATATCTGAAACAGACATGTCTACCATCGTATAAAATCATTATCAGTGAAGAATTAACTACATATGTAATAACTTTTAGAAATGAAATAGTAAAGCCAACAGAGGAATAGCTGAATCCTGGGAAGCTATTTGGGAAAAGGAGGCAAGATTTGTATCTCATAGACCCCACATATACATCTCTCACTTATATACTGTAGTTGGTTCTTTTAAGAAACTAACACATGAGCTAGGAAGGTGGCTCAGTGGTAGAGTGCTTGCCTTGTATGCATGAGGCTCTGGGTTCGATTCTTCAGCACCACATAAGCAGAAAAAGCCGGAAGTGGCACTGTGGCTCAAGTAGTAGAACACTAGCCTTGAGCTGAAAAGCTGAGGGACAGCGGCCAGCCCCCGAGTTCAGGCCCCACAAATGGCAGAAAAAAAAAGAAAAGAAACTAACACATGTTTTAAAGGTTATCTTCATTTCAGAAGCATTATTATTTCTATTGTTTCCTATGCCCAAAAGATAGCCTAATATTTTTCTCAAAAAAGAGTATAGGCAGTGTCAGAGCTCTGCTGCCTGCAACCAAGATTCTCCAAATCACAGCAGCGCTGGTGGTACTCCTGTCAGAATAATCAGGATGATTTGATGTCCTTAAAAACTGAGACCACAACAATGCTTGATAAGAAATGTACTTGTTATCTTGCCCATGTAATTATAACTCCTCTGTACAGTATTCTCACAATTAAAAAAAAAAACTGAGACCACAAATTGAAAGTTGAAATCTACAATACCAATATGGCCATATCATTGTGTGTAACATGCTGGACAACAATTCTTTTTGCTTCAGGAAAGGCTTTAACTTGTTTTATGTGGTTTGTACCATACTCTTCCCATTGTAGTCTTTGTGTGCCCTATCTAATCAATCTCTCTACTCAAAGGTCAGCATGAGGTATTCTATTCCCAAGGCAGGTGTAGGATATAAGAAAAATACAATTTGCAGAGGGAAAACATTCCATGACCCCAGACAGTTAAAGGTCTTCAGGCACCTTCTGTGAAACAGAATAATTTCACAGTGGTTTTACGCTAACAAAAATGAATTACCCTTGGTATGTTTTATCAAATGAGAAGATTCAAGAGAACAAGATTGCAAGTTAAAACCACAGTTGTATACTATTAAAGGTTGGTTTTTTTTTTAATCATTAACAGTTGGTAATGTTTGTGGGAAAAGGGACACAAAGGCAGGACTTACTACCGAAAAATCATATTCCTTTGCTTGTTCAGGATAAGACATTCCCTTCATCCCTTGTCAAAGAACGTATGATTTTAGACTCATCCTAGCTAATTTCATGGATTCCTAATGCCACTTAGCTTGCGGTTCTAAAGAAGATAACATTCTGTTTTGTTGTCTTATTCACTAAAATTTTATCAGTTTGTTATGATTTATGAGCCACTCACAAGTCTTTATTTATTGAATTCATCTATCAAGCACAATTCTGAATACCCTCAAGGCTTTGGAAAGCTGGCTGAATGATGTTTTGGTTTCCTAATAATGGAATAGGCAGATATGAATGAGTGTTTATCACACGGTTGTTTTTCTTCTGAGATATGTCCGAATGCATGGTAGTTTTAAAAGATTCTCCTATTTTATATTCTTCAATTTATACTTTCTTCATTTTCTTAAGAAGGCTAAATCCCATTTCTGATTGTTTATTCAATCCAAGGAGTACTATAAAAGTCAAAAATGTAATAAAGTTCAGGTCATTTGTGATATTAGAACTGGACACAATGGTTATGTTTGCTTCTTTCAGGCTAGAGAATAAATATTGTGTATGAGTAGTAAGTCAACAATCCATACACCAAATTGACTTTTACCAGAAGAGAAAATGTTATGTCTGAGTCTTAAAACAAAAATATTAAAACCTTCCTTTGCAGCTTCTTCATTAACCAATGTGTTTCTAGGCTCTCATCTTATTAGCTTGGTCCCTTGGCATATTTTGTCAGTAGTTAAAACACTGATGAACATAGAAATTGTGTAAGAACTGTTGGTTATGTACTAGTGATAGCCAAGGAGAGTCAATAAATGATTATTTTTATTTTGGAAAGTTACTAATAGTTTTTATCATCTTGTTTTTAAATATGTATTTATTGTAAAGATACTGTACAGAGGGATTACAGGTACATGAGCAAGGTAACGAGTCCATTTCCTATCAAGCATTATGATCATTCTTAAAAGTCAAACATCTGACACAATTAAAACCTGTATGTTTTTATCTAACAAGTAGAGATTATTTTGCTTAATTTTTTTGCTGTTTGACTTTTTTTATTCTCTTTAAGTAGTTGTACATCAGAATTACCATTCAGCAAATCATTTCATGAATGCAATGCATTTCATTATTCTTCTCTATCTCTCCCCACTCTACCCTCCTTCAGTTTTCTTAATTTTGTAGGAGATGTATTAAATGTTATGACTGTATTCTTCCCCTGCTGCCAGATGTTCAATGTATGTTTCTATTTACTTTAATTTATTCTCATTATGTTTCTCAAAGTAAACCAGAGAAATTTCCACGCTGGGACCAGGAAATCATAAATGATCCTTGCTAAATAGAAAAATGTCCAATGAGCCAGCAACTAGTTAATGCAATCACACAACTTAAACACCAGAGTTTCAATGGAAGTGTTCACATACGCATCCATTGTGCTGCTTTTCATATTTCAGCATACTAATTGCTACTATAATTATGTTTCCCACATCTTAAACCCACTCAGTAAAATTTATATTTAAAAGACTTACAGCATTTCTGTTTCATATAATTGAAGTGTTATTCAGGTGCAGTGGCTCATAGCTATAATCCCAGCCACATGGGAGACACAGAATGGAGGATCACAGTTTAAGGCTAACCAGGCAAAACGTAGCAAGATTCTATGAGGAAGAGGAGAAATGGGAGTGGGCAGAATGCAGTAAAGATTTCAATGTATATCCTACACAATTTTTAAAAAGACAGGGGCTAGGAAGGTGGCTCAGTGGTAAAGTGCTTGCCTTGCATGGATGAGGCCCTGGGTTCGATTCCTCAGCACCACATAAGCAAAAAGAAAAAAGCCGGAAGTGGTGCTGTGGCTCAAGTGGTAGAGCTAGCCTTGAGCTGAAGAGCTGAGAGACAGCGCCCAGGCCTAGAGTTCAGGCCCCACGACCAGAACCAAAAAATAAAAAATGAAAACATTTTTTTTAAAGTGAGGCAGGGGCAGGTTGAGAGATATGGATCAGAATGTTAGAAGGGGTGACATTGATCAAGATGCATTGTATTCATAAGGACTGGGTAGTCTTACCTCAGAAGTACAAGGCTGAGATTAAACTCTGGTATGCCATAGGTGGGGAGGAATAGAAAGAGACTGAGACAGACAGACAGACAGAAGACAGACAGAGACAGAGAAAGAGAGCTCTTTCTGGTTTCTGCATATGACTATAGGAGATGGCCATCTAGTGGTCTCTTACACCAGGAGTTATTTGTAGAAATGATGTTCTGGAATATTCTCATAGGCTCACTGAAACTTGAATGTAGCTTAAGCCTATTGCATTTTTTAATATTGTTTTGCCCTCTTAAACAATGACAATTTTCAATGATTTCAGTGGAGCCACTTTATTGTACATTTTGTATTTTATTACGGCTTTCAGGATTTTGCTGACAAAACTGAGTACACAAAGCCCTGACCCTCTTTTCTTCATCTGTTAGCCTGATTTGATCCAACTTTATAAATTACGACTTCTGTATCTGGAACATTATGTTTTAATGTTATATGAAATGTCTTATTGTACAATCATATTAAACTCTTTATGCTTAGTAAATGAAGCAGAAGAATTTAGTGGTGGATTTTGTTTTTCTGTGGGGCAGGGTGGTATGGTGACTTACAAAGTTTTATTGAGCTGGAATTCACTTTCTTCATTTTAAGGAGATTGATTCTATTACTTGGTAATTATTTTCTGATTAAAGATTTCACTAAGATTTCACTGGGCAAAATTTGAAAACCTACTTGGAATTTATTAAGCCAAGATTTTTTGTAAACATGACAAGATCCATTACCATCATCCTGGAAAGACTACTTAAGCTCTTGAACCAATTTCTTAGTAAAATATTTTTAGCAGCATGTACATGCCTAAGCCAGTTATGAATGTTTGGAAATACATACTTTAATAGACTTTTAACACAACCTGTGAAGGCATTTTAAAGAGAGCTTGTGAAGATTCATTTTCTTTAATGTGGCTGTTGACAGTACTTTAAGAATCTGATGCATTCTCAATTTCCATATCAATTTAACTATACTGTGAAAGCCATTTAGTTGAAATATACCATGCAATTGCAATGTATTATTTTGTTCTGCAAATGTCAGTCAACATGCTATGTAATAACAAGAGTAGATGTTGTGTTAATGAAATGTAAGGGTATGTTATTCTTTCACAGTTACAGGAATTCTGATTTTTTTTTCTTTTCTTATATTTGAAGTCTAAGAACAACCTTGTCACTCACTTACTAGGAAGAATCACGAGATGATATTAAGGCACCAACATTTGTCAATTTTGCCATCTTATCAACCCTCCACCTCTTTGTCTCTTTTCTTTTTTTCCCACAGGTGATTTCTATTCACTCCTTTCCAAGCTGCTAGGAGAAAGGGAAGATGTTGTTCATGTGCACAAGTATAATCCTACAGAAAAGGCAGAATCAGAGTCAGACCTGGTAGCCCAGATTGCAAACGTAGTCCAAAAGAAGGATCTTGGTCGGTCTGATGCGAGAGAGGGTACAGAACACGGGGAGCAGGGCAATGCTATTCTTGTCAGAGACAGAATCCACAAATTCCACAGACTAGAATCTACTTTGAGGCCAGCAGAGAACAAAGTTTTCTCATTACAGAAGCCTGACGAAGGCACCTGGGAACCAGAACACACAGGAGGTGCGTGTAGGGTTTCTTTTAAGAAATAAAATATGAAAGAGTGCAATCCACATTAGCAAAATCTGAAGGGAATAAAAACTCACCAATGAAAAAGATTTGTTAGGAAAAAAGCATTACACAGAGTAGTTATCAGATACCCATACCACATGAATTCACTGGTTGTTCAATGAGTGAATCAGAACTAGAATGACCAAAAATACTTAGATCTTTCTGGGAAGCATACTTTTAAAGACAGTGAAGGGAGCTGGGAAGGTGGCTCAGTGGTAGAGTGCTTGCCTTGCATGCATGAGGCCCTGCACCACATAAGCAGAAAAAGCCCAAAGTGGTGCTATGGCTCAAGTGCTAGAGCTCTAGCCTTGATTGAGGTGAAGAGCTCAGGGACAGCACCCAGGCCTAGGGTTCAAGCCCCACAACCGACAAAAAAAAAAAAAAAAAAGACAGTGAAAATCACTATAACAAGTCAACATTTTCCATTTTGCTCAGGACAAAGAAGTTAAGGGTTTCAAAAACTCACATGTAAATTCCAGTGTATTCAGTGCATATGCATTATCTTCTTTTAGGGTAATTAAATTCCTCTGAAAGGAATCATACTTCTGACATTCTTATCCCAATAACTTGTAAATTGTAGTCATTTTTTATGACTTTGATTTCCTAAGTTCCATTATCATTTTCTATCTTAATTGGAAAATTGAGTATGTATTTCTGAAGGGACCTGAAGTTAGTCAATAACTATCCGATTATCTTTACTTCCAACCAGGATTGGCTTTCATAATTAGAGGACAATACCTTATTCCCTTCAGGTTTCTATACCAGCAAGCTATAGATGCCTCATCTTTGTCTTTAATTGTGTTGTGGCCTCTGTGATATTGATTGTGTTTCATGTTACTTGCTAATGTGGAGAGCCAGATAATACAGCATGTGGAGATAATCTCCAAAAAAGTAACAGATATGCGTGCATGGCAGCTGTCCATGCGTGGGCTAGAATGGCACAGGCTGCCAGCTTGATGTTTTCAAATTCAGCTTTGCAGGAAGCCATAAATTATTCAAAACCCAGCTGATTTTTATTTATAATTATAAAAAATTAGCATGCGGTGCCTTTTGCTCACAAGGAAGTTTCAAGCATGGTCCATTGGGACTGGCCTAATGGTTTCCTATGAGATGTTAACTGCAATTTAACTCTTCCTATTTTGACAGGATCAGCCTTTTCTAACTCATTCTAAGTCTGTATTAATAGAACTTATGTTTGTCAAGCAGTAGTCCTTGGGCCTTTTGCTTAAGAAATTTAACCAAGGTGTTCAGGAAAAGAACATGCTTTATATCCTATTGAAGAACAATGGAATTGTTATCTGTGAAAGTTGCCTCTAGATGAGTAGTTTATCATGCCTCTGCCTACTTCATTACTAACCAGGAGTGTCTATCTGAGCCTTTATATTAAAGACAGTAGATTGTACCCCATATAACATGGAAATATGGATGGCAAAAGGGCCTTTTTGGTGAGAGTACTGTGGGCAAGCGTAAAGTAATTAAGAGTTTCAGCATGCCTATTCAATGACTCATCTTTGTTAGTCTTCAATTTGAAATGTTATCAAAGCCCTTGGGTGAGTATCAATGTACAGATTAGAGTTTCACATTAGGTATTGTATTTCTGAAACCTTTATTTTTCTGAAGAAATTAATAAAATATGGGAAATATATTTGCTTGTCATCTCTTCTGATATCTTCCAGTATAGTTGTAGAATGATGCTCAGGAGAGAAATGTTTCTGTAGGATCTGGTTTGGGCAGCCTTGTTTCATTTCATATATGGGTACATGTCACTGAACTTAATAGATCAGTGAGGCTGAGACACCACAAATCCTAATTATAGAGGGAAAGTGTACATGTGTATACTTTCAGAAGTGACTTCTTTTTTATTTTACAGAAGTGACTTCTTTGAATACATTTCACTACTTGAACCTCAAAACAAAAAAATAACTAAATGCAAATTAATGAAAATCCTATTTAAGGAATCTACTTCTAAAATCATTTTTCCTAGCTCTCTCTGACTATTTGCTATTAAACAGTTCATTAACTTTTTTTGATGCTGTGTCACACTGTTGAATAAGCCAGAGGAACACCTATCTCCAGGAAGAGCCTTCATTGTCAAAAAAAAAAGTAGGCTGTTTTTCACATAAAATGTTCTAACAAAATCTATTAGTTTAATCTGTGTGTATTCTTCAAAGTATAGGCAAAGTTTGATGGATAATATTCCATTGTCTCTCTTGTCTGCTCTCTTTACTCCAGACAAAGTTGAGAAATTAACTGTCTTTTGATGTACTTAATTTGCTATACGGAAGAATGTAACTGCTTATATGACATTTTATTGAAACAAAAATTAAAGACGACTGTGTTGTTTAAATATTATAGCTCAGAAGTTTCAGACATGCTTAAGGCATTAATTTTCAAAGGAAGAAAGTGAAGTCAAAAGGAAGTTAACCTGTCTGACTGAGGTCAGAGTCTGAATACAAATGTGGACTTTATGATTTCCACTACAAACGCTCAAGTTCCCAAATTTCAATAGAGTTGTTTTCAGAGTGAGGTTGACTTGCTTGCCCAGTTCAAGTGTTTTACTATGGAGATTTCATCCCTCACTACTTAGAAGTTGGAGTCTAATGAATTTTTTCTGTGTGCACAGTTCTTGATACCTGTACAGCCTAACAAAGTGGCACTTTAAATAATAGTACTTTAGATTTTATTGAAATGTCCATATGTGAAGAAACACATTGTGTTGATAGATCCCATCCAGATAAATTAATATTTCAGCTGAAATCTCTGAATGTGACTGTGTTGTACATAAAGTTTTCAAAACATGCCATTTTTTGGATGTTTATTTTGGTCAGAATTCTACTTGGTTACACACTATGGCACTGACTTTAAAATTCTCCACTTCATACCAGGCCACATTAAGACCACAGTAAAATAACATTACCAGTTTTCATTAGGTGAGAAAGTCCTTAACATTCTTCAGAACAAGATGTTTTAAGTATTGTGTTTTCATTGTTCCTCTAAGACAACAAATGTCTGCCCACAAGATCCCCATTAGCGAGTCTACATTTGGCCAAAATAAAATTTGGAAACCACTATGTGGAGAGAGTATAATGTAGTAGTCTCCAGACCACGGTGCCTGTCTGCCTAGCTTTGAATATAGCTCTACCATTTGCTCTGTGGTGTCTTGATAAGTCAATTTCTTACAACAACTCTCTAAGCTTTATTGTTTCATTAATAAAAGGAGAAGTACAACAGTGCAATCTTCATAAGTTGAAGTGGGAGTCAGGAGAAAGTGTGTGGAAAGTGTTTTTGAACAGTGTACAAATGCTGTGCATACAAATAATAGTTAATAATTGTTATGATATTTAGAAAATAATTCTCATTATTATGATCACCTTAGCATCATGTTGTATTGAGATTCTGAAAAATAAATACTACTGTAAGGATATAAATTCCTTTCTCTAAAGCAGCATTTCAAAGAGCAATTTTTTATGGTATCTCCTTGTGAAATTTATATTTGCTTTTTTCCCACGTTTTGATTGCTGTTTTTTTACAATGTTCCAACTCTTTCTTCAGCTTTTGAATAATCATTATGCGTGTACTGAATGATTGTGAAAATGGCAATACTGCCCAAAGCTACCTACATTTTTAAAGCTATTACAAATGAAGTTGCCTTCCTGATTTCACTCTTGATCTTCTCATTGTTGGCATACAGAAAAACTACTGGTTTTTGTGGGTTAATTTTACACCCTGCAACTTTGCTAAAGTTTGGGATCAGCTCAAGTAACTGCATAGTATACTAGGATCTCCTAAGAAGGTATTTCTAAGAACTTCATAAGGGGCTAGTAATTACTTCTGAACTCTACTGAATATTTGTTAATGTGCCCTTTAACATTTTTTACTTATTTGCTCCCTGAATAAGAAAAGGAATATTTTTGATAAGAATTAGTTCAATCTTGGAGATGCCCAGTGTCTTCTTAGTTGTCCCTAAAAGTGATTAAACTCCCATGGTTAAAAGGGTAAACATTATATGAAATGCTATTTAGAGAGAAATCCTCCATTTTCATTAGAAGTATAAATAAAATGTACTATCAAATGAAAGGAGAGATAATATTTTACTCTTCAGAAATATGTACCTTAGACCACTTAATTTAGAACTGGGGCTTTTCCACTAGCCTGAGAGATTTTCATTTTTTAATCACTTTATCTTTTCAAATTGTATTATACTATCTCATCTCTTTTTTTTCTTCTGATAGTAGTTCCAAAATAATATTTACTTGTCTTAGGTATTAACTACAAATAAACTTTCCTACATCCCCACTGACTGAAGGATCTTTAAAGAATATGAAATAAAAAATATAGAATTTCAAAAAAGAGCAATTCTTTTGAAATGTGTAGAAAAGCTACATGCTTTCAGTTTAGTAGTTGAGAAAGTGTTTGGCAGTGTCGTAATCTCATTGAGTTTTGTGGCTCACCAAGTGTCTGATCACTTACATTGATCTGCCATGGTGGTTGTATATGACATTTAATACATGTATTAAAATATTCAAACTTGAGTTCCTTTTCATAGTTGCCCTAGTTTGATTTCTATCATAGAGTATTATCTATATTGGGATAGCATTAATAAAGTAGAAATAAGATGTTAAATTTTTACACTAGATACTTTCTGGAGACTAGACTTGTTAAACTGTAAAAGCTACAGATGGTTCTAGATGACAAATTTTATTGCACAACCTGTCCTATCATAGAGAAGATTAATTCAGCATATATTGCAAAGCTCTGGATGTCATAAGTACATACACATGTGACACTTCTGATTCAATAAGTGAATTCAAGTGATTGTATACTTAAAATTCAGTAAGTTGTTCATTAAGTCCTTTCATCAATGTATTCTTAATTTTGAGTCCATTCTTATGACATATTTCATTATATCTAATCACAATCTTAAAGACATATCTAATCAAATCTCAAAGAATTCAAATTTGAAATATTTATTTATTAGCTGAAATCTTCTTCCATGAAGTGGATGAAAGTACCAACAAATATATAGTAATAGTTTTGAATCACAGTATTTTCAATGCATTAATTCACTTAATCCTCACAATGACTTTCTTCATATACTCATTTTGGAGAGAAGAAACTGAGATATAGGAAGGTTAATTTATATGCTAAAGCGCAACACCTTAAGGAAACAAGATGCAAAACCAGACAGACTTGCTTCTCTTTCTTGGTTTCTAATCTCTGTTATTTTGCATCTCATAAAAATATAAATTAACTATCTTGAGAGGTAGGTAGGTAGATGGGTAGGTTAACTTCTTCCAATCATCCAGTCATTTCAGCGTACAATTACAGAAACTACACAAAGTAGTTTATTGCCTTTGTCATATGTTCAAATGTTGTCCAAAATTTGACCAAGATGAAAAATTAAAGAACTTTTAAATATACTAATGCTTTTAAAGCCATGGTTGTGTCTTACCTCTTTTTCCCACTTCACTCCCATGAAATGAAACACAATCCATTACCACTATCTTCTGGGGTTGAATTAAATATTTCACCTGTAGTTTTACTTAATTATGGTTATTCCAGTCACTTCTGGTGAAAAACACTGTCCAAAACAGAGCATCTTTTCTTTAATAGTGGATAATTTCCAAGTGTACAGAAAGCAACCCTGGCATTTTATTTTTACAGAAATGCTCTAGTGATTTTTTTTTAGTCTCTTTTTTCCTTAGGGTTAAATATGGAGAGGCTTGTTACCCTAGAGTTAAGTCATAGTTCTGGATTTGAATCATTTTTTTGACTTTAGCTGCTAGTCCTTATATAACATAGATGAATGAATGCCCTTTGAAATACTTATTAATAATTTCATGTGAAAGGAACATTGATCACAAATACTAATCTCTTAAGAAAAGGTGTGAAATTCTTTTAGTGATTTATTGATGTAATTTTAGTGGCAATGTTTAATTTTCAAGCAGCTAGTAATATTTTTAGTAAATAACAGTATGAAGCCATATATTTATTTTTATGATGAATGCAAACTTTTTTCATAAAGTAATAAAATTTGTTTATTATAAACAGTATTATGTGTCACTTGGAAAAATTATAAAATTTCAAGAGGTGGCTTATGAACAACATTTTAATAATGTTTTACAAGTCACAATGAATTTGTATCAATATTACTAGAATCAAGAGCTAATATATTACCTTATTTTCTAAAAAATCGCTTCCTCCAAGAAGTTCTCAAATTTAAGATTTTTTTAAAGTAGCAATCAAGCTTAAAATAACTTCATTATTTGATATCTAAATTTAGAGTAACTCACATATAGAGTCAGGAATCATTGCCCAATGTAGCTTAACCAGTCTAGCAGCACATGATATTTCTGGTCATTCATAGCCAGATTGAGGTTTCTTATGCAATATTTATAATACTTATATTTATTTACATGATTATATTTAAAATAAAATGTTTAACGTTTGTAAATATATCTTATGTGCTATTTTTATTTAGCTTCCAAACAATGCATTTTTGAACACATTTATATTTTCTATCAGAATTAGCATCTCTGCACTTTTATGAGCACTTAGCTCTCAGTACATTTAGGTGTAGGAGCCAGTACATGTGTCTATTATCTTAAATGAGAATGATTGCTTAATACTCATTTTGTGAAGTTTCCACATACTATGGTTCATGCTGTTCTAGGTGGTAAAAAGAGTCAGTACACATGAATTACAAGATTATAGTGGTGTGTGAGTGCTAGTATGCAACATAAATAAATAGAGATTGGAATAAAGGAATTCAGTGCACCTAGTTGGCCATATGGTGGCCAAGTCCTGTGTAAGACTTGGTGACAAGGCTATGAATAGCATGTTATCTCTTCCCTTGTGGAATTCTGTCTAACTCTAATGGTTCTGAGCTCTGAGAATCTTACTAAAGAATTTAAATACCTATTTTGTCATACGTACTTTGAGATTCACTTGTGAGTCTAAGCAGGTGTTTGAGACATCGGTGAGTAAATACTGAATGATGACAGCCAATGGACAAGCCATAAGCAAGAGGAGAATCTAGTATCTCCTGAGATTCAAGCAACTTGGAACATTTTCTTTTGGGGGGAATGAGTTATGCATCTCTTGTTCTATGTAGACGTCTCTAATCATGATGCTTATACTCTATTACTGAAGCTATGTTTCAAAAACACAATTTTAATCATGTCACCCCATTCTTTAAAACCTTCAGTGGCTCACGATTGCCTATAGCAACAATCTGCAACCTTTTCTCCTATTTTGACAAGCATACATGATAGATGATGAATGCTATTCATCTGAGAGCTCAGTTCACACCCACTGCTATGCCCAGGGTTATTTGCAAATTCAGGCAAGCCAGCTGTAATTCTCATCCCTCTTCTCTTTAACCCAGGAAGGCATATCACAATACACATGAGTGGAAATGACATCCTCATGTGCCCAATATATTTCAAAAGTAAATTATTCACTAACTATGTGCCCTAGTGCTATCATAAATACTTGCAATATGCCTTAAAATTAAGCATCATATAGGTCAAGACTCCACAGCTAAAAACTACACTCTTGTTATTCAATCCAAACTCTTTTATGTGATATATACTACATGTTCCCATCTGAGTTCAACAGTTTGTCCTACTCCTTATGCTTCCTACATCCATTTGACATACACAAAATTCATCTCTAGATTTCTCCATGTCTTGAAACATACTGATTAAAGATTAAAAATGAGATTAAAGATCTTATTTACCTTTGTTTCCTTTCAAACTATGGCATTTTTGTACAATTTATACTTAATTCTTCCATTCACCATTAAGTACACACACTAAGTTTACTGCTCTGGCAGTTAGAAAAGACCTTCACTCCTCACTATCCCAACCAAATTCTCAGGAAACAATTGAGCCCACTTCTGTGTCACCCCCCACCCCACGTTCAACCCCCGCCATATCGTATCATAAGTATTTGGTTCCTGTGCCTTCCCATTTTAATCTTACTAGATCCCTGTCGTGTTTTTTTATATCAGTATTATACCTTTTGTATCAAGATCAAAAACCATGTTTGAGTACCTAGCATTTTGTTCAATGCCTTAAGAAGACACTAAGGGAATGTTTGTTAATTCTGGCAGAACATATAAACATATCTATGTGCAAAGGTCAACATATTTTGAATGAGAACATACTTTTCCTTGTGTTTATTTTTACATTGCATCCTCTCAAGTTTTCAAGAGATGATTGTCCAAAACCTGAGCTTCTTTTCTTCTGCTAGTGTTTCATGCCTGACTTTGGGGGTCTTACTACATGGACCCCAACCTACAGAGTAGGAAGTGAAAAGAAGATTCCAATGGTGCTTTTTAAAACTTTCTTAGCACCTCTGGTGAAATTTGGAAAAGGAAAAAATGTTGGCACTGTAGTTTTTAGAATAACCTTCATACTTACATGTCTTTAGTATAGCTAACACTGTTAGCATAAATTAACTCAGGTATTCTCTAAGGATAAATATACTCTGATCAGAAATGAGAATAATTTGACTTTACAAAAAAAATTAAAAAAAGAAATGAGAATAATTTGAGAATCAATCAGCCACATTGTTTTTACCACTTTTTAATTTTATGCCAGAAAATAAATATAACAGGGAGAGTGCCCATTTTTATAGGAATACTGAAGCTAGAAGAAATATTAGTATCTTTCATCATTAGTCCTTAAACAAGGGATACACAATGTTTTATTATGAGGATTATTATATAGTGAATATTCAGAATTTATTCAAGAAAAGTGGATAGATTATAGGTAGGTAGGTAGATATATAGACAGATGAGATATACATAAAATGATAGCTCATTTCTCATTCTTATTATTTACAACATTTGAGTCTTTAAAATAATTCTACTATACCATCATTTCCCAAGATATAAATTTAAAAATCTTGTCAAAAAGATGAGTTTTAAATTTTCTCTCGTGCCTTAATTAGCTGGCATTACAGACATCTATCAACAGGAAAAGAGAGAAAATAGTCTTGACAAGGTCACAGTCATTCTATTTCATAGTACAAGAAGCTACTTGGCATGTGCATGTTGTAGAGCATGGCTTGCTTCATTACATGTTTTTCTGTATCTAGTGATGTTACTGCATGAATCCTTATACCCATTGTGAGTTTTTATGTGATTATCATAGCTTTTGTTTTACACCAAATGTATGGGTTTATCTTTTTAGATTTCCATGTTGAGGAGGCTCTGGATTGGCCTGGCGTATACTTGTTGCCAGGCCAGGTTTCTGGGGTGGCTGTTGATGCTAAGAATAATCTGGTGATTTTCCACAGAGGTGACCATGTATGGGATAGAAAGTAAGTAATACTTCGTTTTCTTCAAGATGTAAGTTAGTATTAAAAAGTAAACATCATTTTTTGAACTAATGATAATAGTGAGAGAACTTTTGTTTTTTGTTGTTGTTTTTCTGTTTTCCCAACCAGAAGTATTGATATTTCCAACTGGAGATCTGTAGAAACTAGGTGGCTTTCTTTATGTGATATTACCAGCCAGTGATAACTGTCCAGGATCCATTCATAACTAATGATATGAAATGATTATACTCTAATTCTATTGTAATATATTTTTGGCTATTTCTTTCACTTAGTATCTATCTCCTTTTTCTAGAATTATGATTAGATGAGTTTTAAGCTAGACATGGGATCACGAAGGTAATCCTAGCTGTTGGGAAGCTAAAGCAGATGGATCATGACTTTGAGGCCAATCTGGGCTACAAAGGGAGCTTAGAACTACCCTGTGCTACATAGTTAGGCACTGCCTCAAGTATACATCATTGAATATTTTTGTGGCCATGATCTTTATAAGAAAATCATATTTCTTATTTTAATGTTTGTCTGTGATGTCAGCAGAGAGTATATATTATCCACTTTTAAATAAAATGATCTTACCTATCAGTTTATGGAAAGAGAGATGTAATCATATGCAATTCTACTTAACAGTTTTCTTATTCTTCCTTGAAATTACCTTCCCTTCCTAAGGGGAAACATATTAAGAGTAGTTCAACCAGTACTTGGAAGAAAATAATCGTGATAAGTGATCCATTCAGAAAGGTTACTTGTTGACTATAATAAAGCACTTTGTTATTTTCTTGTTCTGGCCAATGACTCTAAGGCCGCTGGGCTCTCCCTGTCCTCAGATCATTCCTAGACATTATGGTTGGGGCTGTTTGGATGCCATGTGTATAGAACTAATACCTTAGCATTCACATTTTAATAAATGTTTTATTATTCAAATTTGTTCTTTTTATGGCTGTTTTGGAGAGATTTTTAGTAAAAATGTTGCATTTATTAAGTATTTACTCTGGACCCTAAAGGACCACAAAAATCACCTCATAGTAGGTGTTGTTATCCCCACTGTCATTTGTATCTTACTTCATTTGATGGATGAAAATCCTAATGTTTTGTTCAATGTCATACTGGTAAGTTGTTCAGGTCCTTCCTGGGTATCCACAGTTGGTTCACTTAACCACTTAACAACACTGCCTTTAATAGGTTTTCAAACACACTCAACATGAATGTGTTTTTTAACTTGCTCTATAATTTATCAAGTTATTTTAATTAACAAAATGTGAATATCCCCTTATTATTTATTTTATTATAAGAGTACATATGAAAGTAAATTCTTTAGTGTCTTGTCAATTAAAACGTCTTTTTCCATATGACTTACTAGAAGGTCTCATTCGGGAAATCAAGGCTCTAGATATTTACTTCAATTCTTTTTCCTCCATTTTTCAGAGATGTTGGTTAAAATTACATTGAACTCACTCGATCAAATGTATATGTAACTGTCTTTGTGCCATTAAACATGGAATTCAATCTGCATTAAAAAATAGATTGATAGCTTTGTTACTGCTTTATTATCCATTTTACTTGTCGTGGATCTTTATCACAGAAAGAAATAGCTTCTATGTTCAAAGGAAACAATTGAGCTTAGTATTCTCATTCTAACAGCATTAAAGCATCATCTTTGTTGTTATTCAGTGTCTAATGGTATTTTAACAAGTGTTTTATAAAAGCAAACTATTACTATTCATATTCCTCATTTTAATGAATATTGCTATATTTTATGCATAAATTTCTAGCCACATTTCCCCACTCCCCACAAGAAAATTACAGCATCATTTTCTCCCATTGATACTCTTCCAGCTGGCAAAAAGCTAAATTGGATTAAATCCAACTTCCTGTTCTAATATGATACTCATTCCAAGTAAACAGCAGAGGCTAGAATAGTTTAACAGAAAAAGAATATCTGTAAAGACCAGCTTGGAGTAGGAGATGATACGGAACTATGACACAAGAGCCATCCAGCAATAGCATTTTCTGTGGTTAATATCACAGTCATAGCTGAAAAACTGTTCTTTCCTATGTCTAGATGACCACTGTCATGTGGAAGTAGATTTCCTTTTGGTTTCCCGAGCTTTTGTGCATTTGCCATGGTCAGGGAATAGGCAAAACATGCTACAACAAATACAAGAACTTTACTCATTAAATCTTTGTTCTTTTTTCATCTTTTCCTTTCACATGTAAGAATATTTGTTATTGGGCTGGGAAGGTGGCTCAGTGGTAGAGCACTTGCCTTGCATGCCTGAGGCCCTGGGTTCGATTCCTCAGCACCACATAAGCAAAAAGAAAAAAAAGCCGGAAGTGGCGCTGTGGCTCAAGTGGTAGAGCGCTAGCCTTGAGCTGAAGAGCTGAGGGACAGCGTCCAGGCCCAGAGTTCAGGCCCCACGACTGAAAAAAAAAAAAAAAAAAGAATTTGTTATCACTCTTTCTCTAGCATTGTCTATCAGCCTCTAGCTATCTGTACAGTATGTGGTTTTAAGGAAACTCTTTTCTAGCACTCAGATCTCTGCTTCCAGCCACTCTCTGCTTTATTGTTCATGAAAAGACTTAGAAGTAAATTACTCTGAGTGTTGTTGTTGTTAATTGAGTTTTTCCAAGCAAATATTAGATTCAGTTCTTACAATAGTCATGAATAGTATTCCTATAGATGATGGATAGATAGATGTGTATGTATCACACTATAGAAATTACAGTACTTAGTTTTCTCTATTAAAAACCCACGGATTGAGCCAGGAGCCAGTGGTTCATACCTGTAATCCTAGCTACTCTGGAGTCTGAGATCTGAGGACACGGTTTCAAGCCAGCCAGGGCAAGAAAGTCCATGAGACTCTTATATCCAATTAATCATCCAAAAAACCAAAAGTAAATCTGTGGCTCAAGTGCCAGAGCACTAGCTTTGAGCATAAAAGCTCAGAGACAGCATCCAGGCCCCAAGAGCAAGTCCTAGCACTGGCACAAAAAAAAAAAAAAAAAGATAAAAATTAAAAGAAAAAAAATGTGTTGTTGAAAGAAAAAAAAAAAACCCCTCTTATATAATGTATGCTATGTTGATGGGACAGAATGGAGCAAAAACTTAGGTGGAAATTGTATTCTTGTTGTTAGAATGTTCAAATAGAGTAGTGAGATCCTGAATTAATTGTATCAATTTTCCTCAGATTCTTTCCTATCCTATTTCTTTGGCTCACAAAATTCTAAGTTCTATAACAAAAATCTAAAAAATGCTTTAAAAAATCTAAGCACTGTATATCCTATAGTCTCAGAAGATAAATTTTTTATAAATCAGATAGCACTTGGAATTAATAATAACCTCTAATTAATATTCAGCACCAAACACTGCTTTGCTGCCTTGGCACCAAATGTCTTTATAAGTGCTTTTACTCTTCATTATTGCCCACTAACCCTGATTAGCTCTCACCCTTCTACTAACCATGCTAAATGAGCATGGCAACCGAAATATTAGTAAAAATAGTTAAGCCATTTAACCTCCTGAAAAAATGATTATTACTCCCTTGTTTTGTTAGATTTCCATTAACTCCTATATGTCCCTTACTTCAATATGGCTACTTTAAGAAGCGTTTTCTACTTTAAGAAGCTTCTTCTAGTCAAAATGGGAAATGCCTACTGCCAGCAGGGAATAATGAAACTTTAAAGAGCTTCATGTCTGCCCTAATGTTAGGGCAGCTTGGCAACTAGAGCTCTTTAATCTTTAAATGCCTCCCAGCAGGATCTGAGTAGCTCCTATCTCTGGAACAGCTGTTACCAGGTCTTAAAACCACCACCACAATCAAAGACTTGCTTCTTGGCCTTTCTTTCAGGTATCTCAGCTAGGGTTAGACTATACCACGCTGGATTCAGATCATGTACTCACTTAACTAAACTATGGATCCTGCTTCTCATTTTTAGGTATTTAATGATGTCTTCCTCATCTATCTTTTCACCTGGAGTGGGAAAGGGATCTTGGAAATTGTACTGTTTCAGAACTTTCAGTTACCAATATGAGAGAAAGCCAAAAACTAGCTAGAAGAAGAAAATGATTAGTTGGCAGAAATGAAAAGTTCAAAGGATATGGTAGCCTCAGCAACATCACCAGGATCATTTCTTTCTCCATTCTTTTTTACCCAGTTTCCATTTCCAAGTAGAGATCAACTCTGCTGCACTTCTACCTTGCAGCTTCAGAGTCTTATTACATAAACCACACAGAGATGATAGGCTGGTTCCATAACAGGTAAATTGAAAATTGTTTAGTTGAGTTTTGGAAGCATTGCTTGATCTGACTTACCTCCTCAGCCTTACACAGGGCCTGAAAGTGGGGTTCTGAGCAATGACTCAACCAAAGAAAAGCTGAGGTCACATTAATACAACATGGGACACAAGTCTCTACATTGAGAACCCACAAAAACAAATGGCTGTCAGTTATCTACAGACTCCCTCCCCATGCATGCATATTTCCTCCAATGTCTTTTAAATTGTCCCGTGAACGGACTTTTTCCATATTAAGGATTCCCTCAATAATGACATTTCCAATCATGGTCCCCTCCAGAAGCTATGAAGTGTCTCCTTTGTTCAATTCAAATCAAAGTGTACCCTCATGACAATAATGTAAAGTGGATTTGTTTCCATTTTCCCATGCCAATAGTTTCATATTTACCACACATATTTACCAATCTTCTTGCTGCTCTTATTTTCATCCAAAAGCACTTTGGTTTCTTATGAAATTAATGTGTTTCATCTAGAAGCAGCCAAGATATTTTATATGTTATTCCTAACTAGAGATGTGTATTATAAATATTGATTAGTATGAATAGTTGTATTTCCTTTTAGTTTTATTTTTCATGTGATTCTGGGGACCACACCCAGGGCATACATAACATATTACCAGGCAAGTGTTGTTCCCCCTACCCCATTTCACTTTTTTCTGCTATTTCCATTATTGTGTTGCTTTTGATTGAAATTCC